CCCTGTTAATTAAATAAAATACAGAACAGGGCTAGGGATGTGGCTCAGTGGTTGAGTGCCCCTGAGTTTAATCCCTGGTATCTACCACACACACAAAAAAAAAAAAAAAAAAAATCTGTGTATGTATGTATACATATAAGTGTGTTTACATATACATTATGCAGGGCAAATGTAAGCATAGAGAAAACAGGAGTTTTGACGGTTAAATTCAATGGAAAAATATTAAATGGAAGAGAAAGTGGAATACTTTATAATGAACATAAATTCAAATCATATAAAAAGATAAAAATGTTAAAAACATTAAATAATGTAACTTTCAAATATATAAATCAAAATCTTCAGAAACACACTAACAGCTTCTTTTAATTATTGACCAATCAAGTAGATAAGGACAGATAAAGATGAATAAAATAACCACTGACCTTTATATTGCTAAGGTTCAATTGCAAAGAACAGAATTCTTAGGCTGGGGCTGTAGCTCAGTGGTAGAGCGCTTGCCTAGCATGTGTGAGGTACTGGGTTCGATCCTCAGCACCACATAAAAATAAACAAATAAAATAAAAATATTCTGTCCATCTACAATTACAAAAACTAAAGATAAAAAATAAAAAAAGAACAGAATTCTCTCTAATCTTTTCAAGCAGAAAAGGATTCAGTATAGTCTATCAGTGTCTTCTCAATACCTCTCCCAGTGCCACTTCTATACCAACAGTCTATTAAGTGGCTCACCTACAGCCGCAGCAGCAACACCTACCCTAGATTTATTGAGTCAGAAACTCTGGATGGGGCCAGCACTTTGAGTTTTAACAAGTGCTTTAGGGGATTCTGATGCATGTGCATTTCCAAATCCCTTGCATAAATGACCACTGGGACAGATGGGGGAAAACACTAAGGAACAGAAATGCTTGTCAAATTGGAAAGTTGTTTTTACAGCTTTGGGTTAAAAAAACCAGACAGCCTTCCCTATGCTGTGATGGGGAGCCACCTGCTGAACCAAAGCACTTGCCACAGCTGATGGTACCACAGACAAGCTGGCTCTACAATAATGAGAAAGTGACTAAATGAAGAAGCCACTTCTGTCTCACCCAGAACCAAGCACTGCCACAATCTGCACCAGCAAAATGCATTCCTCCTTAGCCTGCCTCTCCCCCGTCTAAACTCAGGTCCAAATCCAAGCTCTCCAAGAACACATTTGTTTTGTGAATGATGAATCATATTCAGAATCTTGAATGCAAAAAAACTGTAGGAAATAYATTTCTAGGTTTCCAGGCTCTCAAGTGGAAGTTGTTCATTCTCTCTGATCCCATTTACTTCAAGGTAGAAAGCAGGATCGGTGTCTTCTCAATTCCTCTCCCAGTGCCACTTCTATACCAACAGTCTTCCCTCTCCTTTGAAACTCAAAACATTCAGCTCAACCACTGTTACTCCACTATCATACCCTGAACCTCATCAGTACTCCATATCTCTTAACCTTCAGAATCATCAAGATATCCCACTGGTGTGTGTGGGGTGGTCACAACTCCCATCATTATACTAGACTACTATTACGATATCTATTCTTCAACTCTATCAAGACACTATCCCTTATCTCTCCAGTTTCTCCCTAGGTCTGCCAGATCCAATCTAGTTTAAATCCCTTCATTTCAATCAGATTCTTATTGATATTAAGAATTTCGTTTCTTTTTGTCTTTTTATCCCATAGAATTAGAAAAATTTAAGCCCTGGATGAGCCAAATCATCCTTTTTTCTCCATTTATACACCTCAGGCATTGGGTATTGGCAACCCCACTTTCTCTCATCAGTTCCCTTATGTACTCTCCTCAATTCTGATTCCCTGGTTTTCTGCAGATGATGTTGCTTCTGATTTCTGAACAAACATCAGATGGAAAATACTTCCATGTCCTAAGTAATCTAATACTTCCTACACCTGATGTGCTCATCTCATTTGTGTTCTAGCCCTATTTCTCTACCCCCAAAGGAAACTTGAGTTAGTTTATCCTCTTCCTTTCCACTGGTTCCTTCTAAACAGTGTTTAAGGATGTTTATGACTCTCAACTTACCACACACAAAAAGCTATCTTCAAAACATATTCCTCCCAACTAATATCCCTCACCTCCCTCTCTCAAACTTTTTTTTGGGGGGGCGGGCAGGGAGTACAAGGGATGGAACTCAGGGGCACTCAACTACTGAGCCACATCCCCAGTCCTATTTTGTGTTTTATTTAGAGATAGGGTTTCACTAAGTTGCTTAGCACCTCACTGTTGCTGAGGCTGGCTTTGAACTTGTGATCCTCCTGTCTCAGCCTCCCAAGCTGCTGGGATTACAGGCATGCGCCACCATGCCCAGCT